AGGTTTCCATTCAGCTAAAATGTATTGCAAAGAATACTTAGCTGCACCAGAGTTTAGGTACAGCACACTTCCCAAAGAAGAAGCTGACTCACATCTTCTATTTAAAATAAAAAAATTAAAAGGGGGGGGGGGAAGTAGACATGGAGAATGGAGCAACTCATTCCAGAAAGCAGGTCAGAAACCACCATATCCACTTTGTCCTCAACATATTGCTGGCAGAGTTACGTCTACAACAGTGACTGCTGCTTCATAACATGGTATCTCCAGAAGAGATGGGGAAGCTGGAAACAATGTCAGATGCAGCAGCATTCAAGCACCAGGGATTGAACTCCTAGTATCATGTAGGTCATTGAGTAATTACCGGCTGGTAAACAGATTTTAAACCAGAATCATATTCCACAGATGCCACTGTCCACTTTCTTTTTTAACTGTCACTGCACACTCGTGCATTATTTAAATTTGCATATATGTGTCGTGTAGGCAGAGCAACCAGAAGTGAGTTGATTTCATACACCCCTACATTCCAGGATCTCTTCATTTGACACAGAAATGCAGCCACCTCTGGGACAGAAGTTGGGAAGCTTTCAACAGCACAAAATGCCATTGCATAAACAGGTCAGGGCAGAAAGCAAAAAAACACGAGAGTTTTGGGTGAGATCTGTGTGGCTGTAGAATAGTTTTCCAAAGGAAATATTAGTCTCTCCATCACCTAAGACATTTAAAAGTAGGCTGGAGAAAACACTAAATTGCTTGCTTATTATTGTTGGTTCTGTTTGTCTTGTCATCGCAGCCTGTCTGATATTTATATTGTAACAATAGATCAGCTCAGAAGATTTTCTTAGTTTGCATGCAACTTAGGCGAGTTCTTTTTTAGTGCCAGAGTAAATGGATGAGGCATTATTAAGATGAGCGATGTGCTGTGAAGTACTCTGGTACTGCATTTAGTAAAAATGAGATTTTTTTTTTTTTTGGTTAGTAGTATGTTTCTTGTAGACTTGGGAGAATGAACTGTCTTCATGAAAACTGAGACATTTGATTTCAATTGCAAACTCCAGACTGGAACCACTAACATTACAATACTCATTAACCTTAACCCTTTAAAGTATATTGTCCAGTAATAAGGCTCAAGGCACAAAAAAAAAAAAATACATTTGCCACATTCATTTCTTAACCATAAAAAAAGATTGATTATGCATAAAACTATCTATCTGGTGGCTTCCTCATTTTCACATACACGCAAATCTTCTCAAAAGAACAATATGCTATTTTGTTTGCAAACTTGTAAAGGAAGTGGAAATTACACTTCTTATTGTGGATAGCCTAGTGTGCAATATAGGCCTTCTACTACAGAAATAATGGCAATAATAATACTTAGCACTTTACATTTTTCAAAATGCTACACAATCACTAACTACTTAATCCTTATGACCTACTGCTGTAGATAAAGTAGGTGAGTACATCCCATTTTACAGAGACAACAGAAAGGTGAAGTGACTTGCCCAAGGACAGTCAACAAGCCAGTGGCAGAACTGGGAATACAGCTCTGGGGTTCATGGCCTGCAGCCTCAAGCTCAAATCCCTACATCATGCTGCCTCTCACCAAAGTGCCATTTCTGTCTCTCCAGCTAAGCCACAGATGACCAATCCTCCATCAGGCTGCCCACTATGGAAACAGGAGCAAAAAGGCTTTGCACATCACAGGCAGCACAGGTGCAGAAATGGCAGCATGCATCTGTACAACTTTCCAAGTAGAAGCAGGTTGGCCATGAGCTTGCTGTGTACTCCAAATTTGCATCATTGCATACAGGGCAAAAATGTGCATGTGGGCAGAGCGGATATAACTCAGGGTAAACATCCTTATGCTACCTCCTAGAACCCAAACAAAAAAGTGCATAACCACCATTTTGATGACAAGCAGTTACTCCTGAACACTTGCTGGAGAACTGTAGGTACACAGCTGTGTTGGCTGATGGTGAACAAGTCCACAACATCGTAAGTGAATACCTGTGTCTTCCGCATTTGACCCATTCATTCAATTTTTGACCAGTGCAGGATCTCGCCCAGTATTTACCTTCTCACGCTATTCAATCTAACTCCCCCCACCCCCATCTCTCTCTCATTGAAACAAAAATGTCTCCAGACTAATGATTTGCTTATTACGCTACCTTTATTTCAAAGACATATTATTTTTCTTTGAAAGCACCCACCCTCTTGTTTCCAATATACTTGGTAAAATATTACAAGGCTGCAATTTATATTCCCAAGGAATTCCCAGGCTCCATCTAATTAAATCATTCAATCAGGAAACAAATTAAAATAAAATATCAGGGCAACTCCCTTGTGGAAGATATATTTCCATTATCGGTTTCCTGGCAACTGGAGACGACCCTAAAGAATGGGATTCTATTGCCCCTGCTAATTCCATGTCTTGTCAACATCTGTCAAAACAGCTGAGGCACTCAGAGCTTCCATAAGAATATTCTCCAATAGACAAAAGTAGTGAAAAGGGCTCAATGGCAAACTACAGATAACTTTAAGAACTCAGTCCACAGACATTATGGAGGATGATCTATCCTATATAAAGAAATAAATTCCAAATTTATCATTTGTTGATGCTGATCAAAAGGCTGATCCAAAGCCCAATGAAGTCAATGGGGAAAAATTGTGACCCCAACTGTCATAGAGCTGAAGATACAAAATAAATCTTTTTTTGCTCAGTAGCAGCCACCTTTGTGAACCTAATCACTATGGTTTGGACTTGAACTCCCACTTAGGGATAGTGATGTTCTATTGATTTGTTAAGTGAACAACTGGTTTAATTAAGAAGAGTAATACAAACCTCTATAAATTTGATTTTAGCTGTTTTTTTAATAAATGTTAGTATTTGTCAAACCGTAGACCTGATTACTTTTAAAAGAGAAGCAGATTTCTGTTTTCTTAAAATAGTGTTTAAGGAAATGAAAAACCAAAAATGCTTATGAAAGAAAGTAACATCATTAGATCATATACAATTCCTCTCATACTCTCCCTTTAAAAAGATCGTTTTATTGTACCTTTCACCATTATAGACAAAAAACAAGTTACCAAGCTAGCAAGCAGATACAGATTTAAAATACTAATGTTTCCTTACAAATTCTTTGAAGAAAACTACCTCTACAGATAATTAGGCATTTAGGCTAGTATTTTCAAAAAAAGTCCAAGGGAATTAGGCATCCAACTCACATGACATTCATGCACCTAACTCTCATAGGTGCTTTTTGAAAAACCCTGCCTTAGTATTGAAAGCTCCGGTAGCGCACTCCATTGCCACTCAGACAAGAATATATTTCTCCTCAAACCGGAGGACTGCATGAAAGTCAGAGCTGGCAGGAACTGACCTCACTCATCCTTCTCAGAGGAAACTGTGTTTTACTAAATTATCCAGGTTCCAGACAATGCTGCTGAGAAAAGAAGGCACGTGCAAATTGAATAGTTTAAAAAAAATACTGTTCTCTTCCAAAATCTTCTAGCACGTGTACACCCAGAAGTCAGCACGAAATAGTAGGGCTTTAAAGTATCCCGGTCGAACTCGAGTTCATAATGTGTCGAGGGATCCTCAGGCACCCATGTGGTTAATCATCTTTCCTAACTCTTATGATGTTTGTTTACTTTTCCAGCATACAAAATCTGCAGGTCAAAACTACTTGGAAGCAAAGTGGATTTGTGCACCGGTGGGGGAAAAAGCAGCAGAGCTCATTTGCCAGGTGATTTGCTCTGTGCATGTGTAGCCAGGCAAGAATAAGGAGGCTAATGTTGGGACCTGAAGCCTCAGTGCTGCCGCTACAGAAATGCAAAAGGGCTCCCCTCCAGTACCTTGCAAGAGATCTTATCTACCCTCCCCGCCAGATATTTAAACAGATACACAAGTCATAAGGGGGGGGGGGCTCAGCTGTTTGTTCCCACACGGATGAGGAGAATAACGAGGGAGCCGTTACGTACAGATAGCACACAAAAACAAAGTAACGCAAGATCCCAAGCACTGCCTGGCAATTTACCCATGACCCCATGTCACCCCCCACCCCAGCGCCCTGGCCCGGAGATCGAATCAAAGAGAGAGGAGCGAGAGAACGGCTCCCGCAGCCGCCGCCCGGGGAACCTGCGAGCCCAGACACACGCGCAGCCCCCGGCAACGTTCCCTTCGGAGCAGCCCCGCGGGGGAAAGACGGACAACAAATCCATGCTAAGGGTTGAGCACAGACTGCAAGAGCCGCCTCGCTCCTTCCCGGCCGAGACCGCCCTGGCGAGTCCCTGCAGACACACCCGGATCGGAGATCGGGTTTATTATTGCAAGACACACACCCAGCCTACCCCGTTGGGAGATGTCGCCGCTGGCTCAGCAGATGCTAAAGGGGCCGCAAAGCTCGCCCCATCCCGAAACCCATTCATCCTCCTGCTCGGCTCATTCCCGCTGTGCCACGGCGAGAGCGCCAGGCTAAGGAAGCCATGGCAGGAGCCTTTCCCCCAGGCTCAAGGGCAGCCGGCAACAATGTTAGCAGCTCGATCAGCAGCTCTCCGAGCGGAGGGGGCCGGCTTCGCCAACAAACCGGCCCCCAGGAGCCCTTGGCTCACCCAGACTCGTCAGCCCAGCCAGGAGTCATCCCCCGGGTGGGGGTCTCCACTCAGCAACCTTCGTGGCCGGCGGCCGGGGCTGCAAAGCGCTGCAACCAGCAAGCCCTAATCCCAGCCACGCCGCCGCCTGCTCCAGCTAGCCCCCTGCGCTCCCCGGCACTCACCAGGCAGCCGAGAGGAGGCTGCTGGCAACTTCTGCCTGCACAAGAGTCTGAACAAAGCCTCCGATTCTTCTGGGCTGCTGCAGGCTTCTCTCCCCCCGATGGCAGCCGGAATCTGCCACACGCACAACACATCCATGCAATAGGAGGGGATGGGGAAGGCTGCAAGGGAAGGACCCGGAGAGGAGCGGGGTGGAAGTGAGGGAAAGCAAGAGGGGAGGAAGGTGGTACCTTGTATGTGCTGCTTGATGACATTTTCCAAGTGATCCAGCCTTTCTATAATCCTTAAAGTGTCCCCTTTGTCTTCCTCTAACTTTTTCTCTGAGATCGGCTCTTGCACTTTCACATAGACACTGGCAATGTAGTTGGTGACCCAGCCCACGTAGAGCAGGCAGATGATGTTAGTCATTCCACTCAAGATCACACAAGTGGACACTAAAGTTTTGGTTTTCCTGTTGCAAACCATCCTGAGATCCCTCCATATAGCTTCAAAAATCCTGTGATCCAGAGAAACAAAATTAAAGTGCGATGAAAAAAAAAATCCTTCCCTTCCCCTTAGCCCAAAACGGAGACCACTCAAGTCAGTAAATTTCCATGCAGGAAGTTTGCTAGTCCACAGAATAAAAATCTCTCTCGCCTACCTAGAAGGGGGAGCGGGTTGGGGGAGCTGCTTATTTAGGATCCTGGATTTTAATGCATTAAAATAGCTGAAAGTTTGCAACAGCAGCAAGTCATCAGTAGTGTCAGTTACCCGGCTGGCTGCTCTGTTTAGCAATCGGTCGTTCCCATGGGCATGAAGGAGACCAGTAGTCAAGTGCCCAAATGTTGCAAACTTTGTTCTCCCCAACGCTGCTTCCCATTGCAATCAGCCACAGCTCCAGAATCAGATCTTGCAAAAAGCTTACAGGAGAGGCGGGCTTGCAAAGCCTCAGATTGACAGATCTTTCCTCCAGTAAAGAACCGGCTATGGAGGACCATTTGTTAATATCACCCTATCACCAACTGAGACCTAGCAGGGGCGGAGTTATATCAGGGGGCCCACCTGCTTCTCTTACACACACACAGTCATACACAGGGGTGTCTCAAGGGGCACCCACGGTGCTACAGACTTTTGGGCGAGAAAGAGGCAATTTCTCCTTCACACTGTCTCCCTGTTTGTTAGTCTAGGGACGAGTGCAGGGCTTGTTAGTAGTTTTTTCCTCCCTGACATAAGATGAGCACACTAAGTCCCAGTTTGCAACTTAGCAGAACTTTCTGATTTTTCTCAGGAGTGAGCTGCATTTTTTTCTGCACATGTCCCGAGGCCAATAAGCTGTCTGAGATAAAAACAAGCCTGGGATTCCTCTGTACCCTCAACATATCTGCCCATCTAGGGAGAACTCGTTGATTTGTTTTCTGGGGTGAAGCCAGAGAAATTCCCTTTGTGCCTGTAAACTATTGGTTCCCTAGATCCAGATCGTCAATTTTCCACCCTGAGAATATACTTCCCCTTTTTCTCTTCTGGGTTTTTTTGTTTTTTGTGTTTTTTTTTGTGAGCTGCGTTATCATTTGCTAACTACTGGCGTAGATGCTGCAACTGGATTCATGCCAGCAGACCCCTGCATCCATGTAGAGCACCACTGAAAGAAATGGGACTGCATGCAGGGATAAGGATTTCAGGATTGGGACCTATATACAAAACTCACTGTTTAGCTCAATCCACAATGTCAAGTTCTTTGTGTGACTTCCCTTCTTTCTTCCCCATCTCAAACCACAAATGGATCAGAAATACATAACAGGCCAAATTCACCGAGCATAATTCCATTGGTTTCAATGGGAGTTACATCAGGAATGAATTTGCCCCATTAGTGTTAAATAAGGACATTTGTACTAAAAAGAGCTGCCTTTTGCTGGGTCATTTTCTTTGATACTCAAGTGAAAAATTAGAGCTTAGTATGACTCAGGTTCGGAATAGCGAGGCAGTTTTTAAGGTGCTAAAAAGATTTCAATACCATTAAGGTTGTCAACCAACAAAAGCAAGAAGTTACAGATGTTCTGTATCATACTGTAATCTCAAGTATGCAGTAAGTAGTATACATAAAATAAATCTGTTGTTGTGCTTTTTATTCATGCACCACACATCTGAGAATAGAGTTATCCTGTTTGCACTTGAAATTGCAGAAAGCACTGTAGGTAATAGCAGTCACTACTCAAACCCATGTGGGTGAGCTTTGAACCCTGAAAGATCTGGCTTTGGTGAGTGTGTGTTCCAATTCTGCAACACAGTTAAATGTGGATAGTTTTATCTTAACTGCTTTTTTTTTTAAGCTATGAGAATTTTATGGTGCTTATAAAAGTGGGAGGGAGGCAACAGCTACTTCAACCAAACATAAGTATCTCTTCTCCTATTAGTAGGTATGCCTAATGCTCAGTAGGGCTCAGTAGCAGCTAAGCATACTTATCAGAGACAACAAAGTAACAGTGTGAATAGGTGTTGTGCTAAATTCTGCCAATCCAGCTCAATACTGAAAAGAAAAAGGAGTACTTGTGACACCTTAGAGACTAACAAATTTATTTGAGCATAAGCTTTCGTGAGGTAAGCTCACTTCTGAATGCAGCCGATGAAGTGAGCTGTAGCTCACGAAAGCTTATGCTCAAATAAAATTTGTTAGTCCCCAAGGTGTCACAAGTACTCCTTTTCTTTTTGCGAATACAAGTACTTGTGACACCTTAGAGACTAACAAATTTATTTGAGCATAAGCTTTCGTGAGGTAAGCTCACTTCTGAATGCAGCCGATGAAGTGAGCTGTAGCTCACGAAAGCTTATGCTCAAATAAATTGGTTAGTCTCTAAGGTGCCACAAGTACTCCTTTTCTTTTTGTGAATACAGACTAACACGGCTGCTACTCTGCATACTGAAAAGAATTACCCTGGTTGATTCCAAGTTTCTCAAGCAAAGCCTGCCTGCCATTTGGGGTAAAACTATAAAAATTTGCTCTGTGGTGTTGTGAGGTAAATGAAAATCCATCAGTCACTAGAAATGTGACCACCAAACTCATTGGGAAATAAAATAGGATTTGAACCCAGGTATCTAGAGGTGAAAACTATCGTGTATAAAATCTTCTGGTTAAGAAAGAAATCTCATCACAGTAATTCATGAAAGTTTGCAAAACAGACCAACCTATCTAGTCAATACACATTTTCAACCTTTATAAAATGCAGATCATTAACCCAAAAGATTGTTGTGGCTTCTATCATGTAAATCTACTGCATTATGTGGTCCATGATATAGATTCTGCCTACATCAGCATTTTTCTTCAGATTGCCCACTATTTCAGCTACAGGTATAGTAACAATTCTGAGAGCACCAGTGCAGATAGGCCACTGAAGTTTTAACTGCCATGTCATCTAGCCTCTCTCTGATCTTTGCATGCATGTACACATGCATGAGCGCACACAAGCACCCCGACCTGCATTCCATGCATTTTAGGTGAACCCCACAACCTGGCCTCTTGACTTCTAAGTTCAAATAACTCAATAAATCAAAGTAAAACTCATCTGAAACTATCCCATGAAGGGGAGGAGTGACATGTATAAAGAAATAATTAAATTAAAGTTCTACTTATAAAGCATTAGTAAATGAGCAATAGACTTTACAAGCATATTACAGACATGAGTAATATTTGTTATTGATAGTTATGAGCACATAGAAAGTGTTATAGGTGGTTATAAACCATGGCTATAAGCAACCTATTGACATGCTGGACTCTATAACAAGTGTTTAACCATTTAGTAAAACATCCATTAATCATTTTTAACCCTTTATAATCTACTTATAAAGGGAACTTTAGTATAAACTGTGACCAACAAACCTGTGGGAACACTCTCTTGCGGCCAAAGCTGAACTTCTCAGCTGCAAACAACCACTTCCTGCCCAGTCCTGCTCTTGTCAAAGTCAGTGCAAAAACTCCCAGTATCTTTGATGGTACAGGAGGGGTCATACATGTGCTCCTCACTGTAATGCACAAAGATGTTCAGAAAAACCACCTGCATTCATGCCTATGGTAATATTTTGGTGTGGTTTTTTTAAAAAAAGTCCCTTGCCCAATGCATCTTTATTTTTTTGTTGATATGATAGAAAGCCACGGGTTTCAAAGTGTACAACATTTTGCAGTGATTATTACTGTTATTCTTTATTTATAGTACAGTAACACCAAGTTTGGGACCCCATTTTGCCCAGCACTGTACAAAGCATGTAATAAGGCCCGGTCTACACTAAACATTTTAATTGATGTAACTATGCTGACCTAAACTCTGGTGTAGATGCAGCTAGACTAGTGGAAGAATGCTTCCATCAACCTAGTTACTGTTGCTTGGGGAAGCAGAGTTCCTGCATCAATGGAAAACCCCCTTCTGCTGTGGTAAATCGCGTCTACTCTACAGGCCTTAGAGTGCCACAACTCTAGTGGTGCTGCTGCCCTTGTAGTGTAGACAAGCCCTAAATCCTTGCCCCAAAGAGCTTAACACCTATATGGAGAAAACTAAAAAAGTGGAAGAAAGGAAATATTATCATCCTCGTTTCACAGCTAGGGAAGAGAGATTAAGTGATAAGATTAAAGGGGGAGTGTGTTAAAAAGCACCGTAGTCATTTACAAGCACAAGTCCATTGACTTTCAAAGGGATTTGTGTGCCTAGGTCATGTAGGTGCTTGTGAAAATCCCACCCTGTGATTAAAGTAAGTGTAAAGGCAGCATGACCTGTAAACTAGGACTCAAGAGACCTGGTTTCTATTTCCATCTCTGCCACTGACCTGCTGTGTGACCTTGGGAAAGTCTCTTCATCTTTCTGTGCCTCTATTTTATTTCTCTTGTCATAAGATCTTTGTGACAGGGACTCTCTCTTACTATGTGTTTGTATAATGGGCACTGATATCAATTGGGGGTCTCTAGGTGTTTTTGTCATATTAATAATAAGACATACACATCCTTGCTGCTGAAATATGCTCTCATGTCCTAGCAAGTATATTCACCACTTATGTAGCATTTTCTCTCTCAAAGTATTCTGAACATAAGAAGGCCATACTGGGTCAGACCAAAGGTCCATCTAGCCCAGTATCCTGTCTTCCGACAGTGGCCAATGTCAGGTGCCCCAGAGAGAATGAACAGAACAGGTAATCATCAAATGATCCATCCCCGTCACCCCTCCCCATCTTCTGCCAAAACCGAGGCTAGGGGCACCATCCCTGCCCATCCTGGCGAATAGTCATTGACGGACCTATCCTCCATGAATTTATCTAGTTCTTTTTTTTTAAACCCTATTATAGTCTTGGCCTTCACAACATCCTCTGGCAAGGAGTTCCATAGGTTGACTATGTGTTGTAAAGGAAAGGAAGTCCATTAACATCTGACATCCATCACCAGAAATTCAAGACTGAGGTGATGGGGGAGAGTGTAAACAGAGGACAGGATCTGAGAAGTGTTTCCATGAGCGTGGTGGGTTTTATTGTTGTTTTTTTTTTTTTAATGGTGCACTTTGATGAATGATAAATCTTATTAGTGGCATTACAGACCTTCAAGCAACCAGTACTGAAAAGTGTGTTGGTCAATGACATCTCCACCCATTCTGCAAAAATGCGTTTGTTTCTAACTAGGTTTCAGTGAAAAACTTAATCATTTTATCATCATTACTTCTATTCCATTCAGGATCTTAGATAGAACCCCACCAATTTTACAAATGTACAGCTTTCAACTTTATCAAGTTTGAATAGATTTTTTTTCCCATTTTTCCCCCCAGAACCACCATCAGTCCCTTTGTTTGAAAAAGATTACACAAATTTCCAAAGGCACTCAGTAAGAAATACTGTATTTTATATTCTGGAGAGATAGGACCAAACAGAGATAGAAAATGAGTGAGAAAAGCTG